ATGGGGAACAGGGTTACTATAGGGGTAGAGGGTGCACTATAGGGGAAGAGGGGGCACTATAGAGATAGATGGGGAACAGGATTACTATAGGGGAAGAGGGGGCACTATAGGGATAGATGGGGAACAGGGGTACTATAGGGGAAGAGGGGGGCACTATAGGGATAGATGGGGAACAGGGGTACTATAGGGGAAGAGGGGGGCACTATAGGGATAGATGGGGAACAGGGGTACTATAGGGGAAGAGGGGGGCACTATAGGGATAGATGGGGAACAGGGGTACTATAGGGATAGATGGGGAACAGGGTTACTATAGGGGTAGAGGGGGCACTATAGGGATAGATGGGGAACAGGATTACTATAGGGGAAGAGGGGGGCACTATAGGGATAGATGGGGAACAGGGGTACTATAGGGGGAGCAGGGGCACTATGGTCTCACTTACCAGGCAGCAGATTCAGGCCTCGGTTAGCTCCGCCCCCGCCGACCACTTGGCTCCGCCCCATCGGCTGCTTGGCTCCGCCTCCTACAGTCTCTTTCGCTGCTAAGCCCTGGTAGAGGGCAGGGGGTGTGCAAGCTGTCAGCCATAGGGCGCCCCCTGCTGCCATGGCGCCCTGTGCGGCCGCACAGCTCGCACACCCCTAAGGCCGGCCCTGCTGACAATGTAATACTGACTGTAGAGAGCAGATAAGCGGAGGCAGGGCCGGACTGGCCCACCGGGATACCGGAAAATTTCCCGGTGGGCCGCGGCACCTGGGGCCGGTCTGACAGCCCTAATCATTGGGCTGACAGCTCCGGCCGCACAGAGCCCCATGGGAGCAGGGGGAGCCGGCCGGCACAGCTCACACACGGCCGGCCGGGATCATTAAAAAAAAAAAAAATTGCGGCGGGGGCGGAGCTTAGTGCGACGGGGGCGGGGCTAACTGGGCTTAGCGTGCGGCGGGGGCGGGGCTTAGCGTGCGGCGGGGGCGGGGCTTAGCGTGCGGCGGGGGCCTGGCTGACTGCAGCATGGGAAGCAGGTAGGAGTCCCTGCTTCCCCAACAACCAGCCTCCAGGAACTGCAAGCAGGAGGGAAGAAGGAGGTCAGAGTGTGAGTGTGTGACTGTCTGTGTGTGACTGTCTCTATGTGAGTGTGTGACTATCTGTGTGTGACTGTCTCTATGTGAGTGTGTGACTGTCTCTGTGTGAGTGTGTGACTGTCTCTGTGTGTCTGCCTGTGAGTGTGTGACTGTCTCTGTGTGACTGCCTGTGAGTGTGTGACTGTCTGTGTGAGTGTGTGACTGTCTCTGTGTGACTGCCTGTGAGTGTGTGACTGTCTCTGTGTGACTACCTGTGAGTGTGTGACTGTCTCTGTGTGAGTGTGTGACTGTCTGTGTGTGACTGCCTGTGAGTGTGTGACTGTCTCTGTGTGACTCCCTGTGAGTGTGTGACTGTCTGTGTGTGACTGACTGTGAGTGTGTGACTGTCTCTGTGTGACTGCCTGTGAGTGTGTGACTGTCGCTGTGTGAGTGTGTGACTGTCTGTGTGTGACTGCCTGTGAGTGTGTGACTGTCTCTGTGTGACTGCCTGTGAGTGTGTGACTGTCTCTGTGTGTGTGTGACTGTCTCTGTGTGACTGCCTGTGAGTGTGTGACTGTCTCTGTGTGACTGCCTGTGAGTGTGTGACTGTGTGAGTGTGTGACTGTGAGTGTGTGACTGTCTCTGTGTGACTGCCTGTGAGTGTGTGACTGTCCCTGTGTGAGTGTGTGACTGTCTGTGAGTGTGTGACTGTCTGTGTGTGTGTGTGACTGTCTGTGTGTGTGTGTGACTGTCTGCCTGTGTGTGAGTGTGTGGCTGTCTGCCTGTCTTTGTATGTGTGGGTGTTTGCCTCGGTGTCAATGACTGTCTGCCTGTGTGTGTGTGGCTGTCTGCCTGGGTGTCAGTGACTGTCTGCCTGGGTGTGTGTGGCTGTCTGCCTGGGTGTCAGTGACTGTCTACCTCTGTGTGTGTGTGCGCACATCTGCTAGTGAGGGAGCCTGTGTGTGTGTGTGTGTGTGTGCCTGCTAGTGAGTGAGCTTGTATGTGTGTCAGTGAGCTTGTCTGTAGGGATCATATGTGTGTGTGTGTTAGTGAGCTTGTCTGTAAGGAGCATGGGTGTGTCGGAGCCTGTCTGTGGTGAGCATGTGTGTACAGTGAGCTTGTCTGTAGTAAGCATGAGTGTGCAGCCAACTATTTCAATTGCCTATATATATATATATATATAGGCAATTGAAATAGTTGGCTGCACTCTCGGATTTCCTGAAAATGTAACTTTTATTGAAATATTTAAGAGAAGATCAACGTTTCAGTCCCTCTTGTGGACTTTTGTCATGATCCTGACGAAAGTCCACAAGAGGGACTGAAACATTGATCTTCTCTTAAATATTTCAATAAAAGTTACATTTTCAGGAAATCCGAGAGTGCAGCCAACTATTTCAATTGCCTATATATATATATATATATATATATATATATATATATATACACCCTCCTACATAGCACAATGACTTATGGGGCTGGCATAGATTTTTTTCCAGGGCTGCTTCGTATCCCCAGTCCGGCCCTGGGCGTATCGTCTATCGTAACTCATCTAACATGCCTCATCGAATGTAATACCTGTTTGTGGCATTGTGATAATCAGATTGAGGAAATATTACTGCTACATAACTGAAAAATAATGATATCCATATACTAGGTGCCTATAAATATACTAAATTGGCCCAATGAGTACCTGATTACCCAGAGGGCAGACAAACATTAAAATGTAGGGTGGCTTACTGAAATGCATATGATACAGTTTTATAAATTTGAGGTCATTTAGTAAGAAGATTTAAGACATTTAGAAGATACCCCCCTTTACAGGAAATAAGGAATTTTACATTTATGTGTACAGAGAATGTATATACAAGTTTATATTTTATTCTCCTTTACCATATGTATAGGCCCAAGTTTGGGTGTGACATAAATTTAGACAGTCAGTTGCAACACCTAGCCACATAATTACTAAACAATGAAGGCTCAAAAAGTGCTTGAATACCCAGGACAGACAAAAAAAACTTTAAAATGTAGAGTGAGACATTAAATTGCAGGGTGACTAACTAAAATGCATATAATAAAAGTCGATATGGCCTAGTGTGGGCCAAATACAGTAAGCAGAATGAGGCATCGCTGCCAAATACAGTAAGCAGAATGAGGCATCGCTTCAAAATACAGTAAGCAGAATTAGGCATGCTATGTACGATTGAAATAGGCTGAATTTGCATTACTAGTAAAATTTGCAATATCCGAATGGCTGAACAAACAAACTTATGGTTTTGTTAAAAAAACAACAGTTATAGAAGCTGTGGCTGGGCTGGACGTGGCAATGCCCCATGAGCTTCTAGTGAGGTAAAACAAATACTTGCGTTTGGAGTTTAGGCAGTTTGTGTTGATGACCTTTGAACTGGAAGTAGATGGTTCTGTAATGAACCAGACAGTCTCATCAGTCTGCAGCTTGTCAGACCAATCACGGTAGGGTAAGGAAGGGAGGAGTCCCTGTTAAAGGTCCATAAGCCCCTCCCACAACTTATATATATATGTAAAACAAATATTTTTCGCTCTATAAGACGCACTTTTTTTCCCCTCAAAAGTAAGTGGAAATGTCTGTGCGTCTTATAGAGCGAATGTGTAAGTTGACTTATCTGTACTGTAGCTTGGGCCGGCAGATCCCTGTTTCCAGCCGGAATGAAAGGAAGTACTCACTCATTGTGCTCACTTCCTTTCAGTCCGGCCGGGTACAGGAAACTGAAATTTAAGTTCCTGTACCGCGGTGCGCGCTGTTCCGGTAGGTCATGCTACAAAACAGGTAAGTAAACCTACCGGGGACCAAGGGGGGAAGAGAGGGTCACTAAGGGTCACTATGGGATGAGGGGAGGGTGGGAAGAACACTATGGGATGAGGGGAGGGTGGGCAGAACACTATGGGACAAGGGGAGGGGGGAGAACACTATTGGACGGGGGGGGAGATCACTATGGGACAGGGCAGGTGGGGTTAAAAATCACCATGGGACAGGGGAGGGGGGTTAAATATCACTATGGGACAGTGGAGGGGGGGTTAAAGATCATTATGGGACAGGAGAGGGGAGTGGGTGGTAAGGAACACTATAGGACATGGGAGGGGGGGGTGTTAAGAAACACTATGGGACAGTTTGTTCAGAGTATTTTTTTTCTGGGTTTCCTCCTCTAAAAACTAGGTGTGTCTTATGGGGTGGTGCGTCTTATGGAGCAAAAAATACGGTATATATATATATATATATATAGATAGAGATTTGTTTTACTGTTCCTCCTTTTTTCCCCATATTGATCACTTCTCACTTGTTCTATGAATAAATGAAAGATTTACTAACCAATCAATCATCTTTTTTTTCAATCAATGATCTCTTTTTTTTGGCACCATGGGCAGAATTCTGATCTGCAAGTCAAAACAAACATGCTTGCTCATTGTGTTTTTTGTTTGGTTCATGATTCAGGTACATTTGAGATTTTAGGAATTTGACCGTTCACCTGATTGATGTAAAAAAATTAAAATTATCAAAAACAATTCATGCACAACAATCCAAAGACAGATACACTTTTGAACATAAGATACATTTCTTTTGAGTTTTCTGGGATTCTAACGTGTACAGCAGTGAAATGGTAATAGTGCACATAGCCTACAAAATGCAGGTAGACGTAATTGTCAGGAAACCTTCTCTATACAATACCGAATCGAGTCCCACCTACTGGCTTAGATAAAATTGTGTTTGTTATTGAAAGCCTTTCTGAAAAAGAACATATCCCTGAGGAGTTTTCTCAGTGTACCTAGTACGGTGACAAAGAAGAAACTAAACCAGCCCATTTAGCCTTAATCCACACTGCCTCTGCTCTGAACCTTGTCAGCTGAACAAAGATGTTTTCCCAGTTCAGCATGAAAATAGAAGGGCAGTCAGATGCTCTAGCAATATGAAAATGTCAAAGGTATAAAAGGCCAATGTAATGACTTTAACATGTCTCCCAAGGGCGATCACCATTTCCTCCACTACAGTGACTTTCACAGCTCCAATAGAAGGAAAACGTGGTTTGAAAATGTTCCCCAACCTGACCATGAGTACATTTTGTCAGTGGTCCTGAAATATTGTCAGTGGCGTGGGAGGAAATTTGCTTGCCTTATGGTAGCTATTTGTGTATGAGCTTTCCTTTCTGAAATAAGCCGTGTGTGACATTCTTTCATTATTTGGTTATTTGCGGTTCAGGGAATATGAAAAGACACAAAGGTCAGGGATCCTGAAGGGGACATTAAATTGTTACATGGAAGAACGGTCACACACATTGTAAAAAAAAATATATAAATAAATAAACAAAAACTCCAGGGTATATCAGGAAAGGAAACTTGTAGCAATTACTCTCCAGGCGGTTTGTGCAGACTCAGTGGAGCGGAAAGTCCTGTAACAGATATGTTTATTGTTACAGTGTTTACAGAACTGCTTTGCAAAGAAATTCTAAAAGAGTTCCCGTCCTGGATATCTCAGTAGAAAATATAGGATCTCATCTGCAGAGGTTTTACCATTTCTACTAGTATAATTAACAATTATATATTACATAAACATAATAAGGCAGAACACTTGCAAAGGGGGCTAGTGCAGCAACCCACTGAAATGTCAAGGTTGCGTGGTTCCATTTATAGGAGAGTCAGTTGAGCTATTCATTGTTGTAAGGTACAGACAAGTTATAACAAAATCTATCAGTCTTTTTGTGACAGGATCCACTTATACACTTGGTAACAGCCGCCATACCCTGTAATGAGGCACTGCAGAAATAGCAAAATTCCCCCAAGGCAAATAATCAAAATAATCATGGAGGTATCCATCGCTGCACTCAATATCTCCATTATATGAAGCCAGCTGAGGGGTACAGCTTGCTATTACTGGACAGCCGCCAATGCCTTATGACCCAATCACAGAAATCCTGTCATGTGATTGAAGGTTGATGCACTGCTGAAGCAGCACATGCAGGGATCAACTGTCAATAGTCTATCTTTGGCTGCCTCAGCAATGGTCACTGACTGAGTCTCAGACAACTTGCATGCATTTAATTATGCATTTGTATCATTGGAGATATATCTAAAAATAGCAAAACCTGCAGATCCCTTATTTGCTGCCTTGGCAAGCCCTCCTCTTGTAACCCCGTCCAGACTTTATGTGATTATTTAATCACAGACTTCCCAATGCAGCTCAATGAGAAGTCTTTGCAAGGCGGCCGGCGGGTGCTCTGAGCAATTGCTGCCTCTTGGGTTCAGGGCAAATAAACTAACCAAACCAGGAAGTAACAGGACCTGCTGCTTGCTTGAAAGCCAGAGGGGTGTAACCAATATAATTTGTTAAAGTGTTAATTCTGTACTATTTTGAAAATGAAAAAAAAGAGGACACAGTCTACACACACCAAACTTTTCAGCAAGCTAAAGTGCTTTTGGGATCTGGAGTGTCCCATTAAGGCAGAGTGATAACTTACTGGCTTGTGTAGCATGTGGCCATTCTACTAAATGATTAATTGTTAGACTTAGTGTTAGGATTATTTAGGGATAGCTAAGGTTAAGGTTATTAATGGCTAGCTCTGGTTAGATTTTGCTATAGATAGAGCTGACTAGGGTTATGGTTAATTAAGGTTAAAATTAACATTGAAGTGAAGCGCTAGTCAGTGTGGTGACACAGATCTTTAATTTATCTGATAGCATCTCTGGGAAGTAAGTAAAGAGAAATGTCAAAATTAGCATAGTAGTGGGGAGCAGTGGTGGGCACTCCCAAGCGTCGACTGTCAAAGTGGATAACCAAACCCTGCAACTTCCCTTAGATGTAGCAAATGCCTTTAACAATTATTTGTCGGATGCTCCACTACCCTTATTGCCAAGCTAATAAATGACACGCATCCTGAAACTACAGATGTGGATCAGGCCCCACTAAATTTGCAAAGACCCAATATAGACAAATTCATTTTTAGACCTGTACCTATTAATGTCATTAAAAAACACCTTAATAATCTAAAAATGAAAAACCAGCCTGGACCTGATCAAATCCCAGCAATGCTGTTGAAGCTCAGTGCGCCAGCAATTGCTAAACCTGTCAAAACCCTAATTAACGAATCCTTGGTGTCTGGATACATACCAAAACTTTGGAAGACTGTGAGATTAGTATCTATCCATAAAAGTGGTGACACTACTTTGGTCTCTAACTATCGCCCA